GGCGGCGGGAGACTAACTCAGAGGCAAGGACCAGCAGAGACTGTTTCCCTCGCTTTGTAGGTGGGGAGACACAGGCCAGAGAGATCTGCACCCCAATCTGTGAGCAGCAGAGGAGGAATGGGGTCAAATCCCTTTGTAATTCTGCCTCCACGCAGAGTCCAGGTCCCTGAGGCCAGTGACTGTGTCACTGACTCCCTGTGTGACCTTGGGAAAGTCACTGTGCTTCTCTGAGACACGGTTTCCCCAGAAGTTAAGGGAGAGGTAGCCATTGGGAGAGACCTGGTGTAGCAGAGAACCTTCTACGGAACAGGCACTTTATAGATAGCAAGCAGCCCATCTGATTTTCATAACTATCCGCAGAGGTAGCCATATGTCATCATTCTCTTTTTGGGGTGTGTGTGTGTGTGTGAGGAAACTGAGGCTCAGAGACATTACTGTACTTTCCTATGGCCACAGAGCAATTCCGGAGGCATTTCTAAAGCCTGGGCTTTTGACCACCCCTGGGGAGATGCCAGCGAGATGAACACAGACCTTTATTTCTATTGCCCTGTCCATGACAGACATCACTAATCAATGTGCACACTCTTCTCATTCCTTCCTCTTTCCTCCCTCCTCCTTCCCCCATTCCCTCTCCCTTCTCTGCTCTTTTTCCTTTCTCCCTCCCTCCCTTCCTCCCCCTCCTTTTTTTCTCTCTCTCTAACTCATCATAGCAAAATGGTGAGAGGCAGGAACCTCCAGCTTTTGCTGGCAATGACTAAAAATAACCTCTCAGGTGTCTTGTTGGCTTTTGACTGTTCAAAGACCTTTTTCATCTATTCTCATTTTATTCTCCACACTAAGCCAGGGAACCAGCAGGAAAAGACTCTTGAGTTAAAAAGCGCTGCCCCATCTTGTCCAGACCCCAACCTCCCCCACCACACAGGCCAACTCACCCTGTTCCCCATCCACCCAGAGCAGTATCTGGAGCACCAGGAGGCCCGAGGCCCAGATAGGCATGGCCCCCATCCTGGACCTGGATCAAGAAAGAGAGGGAGGGAGGGGTGAACACAACCCCCCCAGAGAGTTGGCATGGAAAAACTCATCCCCCCTCTACAGGTCTGGAAACTGGGACTCAGACAGGCCACTGTGTCATTCACAGTTGCACAGGCAGCAAGCAAGGGCAGAGCCAGAATCCAAACCCAGAACCAGCTGACGTCAGAATCCCAGCAGTGATGTCTCATGGTCAGAAGTATGGATGCTGGGGTGAATCAGAACCTGGAGTTGTCTCTGTGTCTGTTCCTTGCTGTGTGACCTTGAGCAAATAATTTAGCTTCTCTGTGTCTCAGTTTCTTCGTACGTCAGATGGGGAAAACATCAGGTACTTGAAAGGAATAGATGAGTTGATACATTTAAAATGCTTAGAACTGCCTGGCATGAAAGAGTAAGTTTCAGCTATTATTATTATTATTATCATTAACCTTATCAGAGGCAAGATCAAAATCCCATTTTTCAAGTTGGCCTCCTCATTTAGACTTGCGGGGAGGGGGAGCTCCTAAAGGGCCGCAGCCAGTCCCAGTCTGCCTGGGGTCCCCAGTCCTGGCAACAGGCTGGCCTCCAAGCCGGCCTTTAATCTGGGTTTTCTGAAGGACATGATTCTCAGCTTCAATTCCAGGATTTGATTGTCGCCAAGATTCTATTCTTGGTTTCTGGGATTTTTGAGGTCCTGCCAAGTCTCAGCTGGAGGATGGGCCTTGCCCTGCCCACCCTCCCCTCCCCTCCCCCTCATTTCACACTGCCTGGCAAAGATGCCTCCTAGGTCCACAAAGACTCCAGCATGGGTCCAGCCTTCTACAGGGTGGTGGCCCGTGGGCGTAAAGTGGACAGTTATTGCGTGTGAACTGTAAGCAAGGCCAATTCCAAGCACTGGGACACAGCAGTGGCCTCCCTGACCTCACATTCTTCCAGAGGCTGGAAACCCTGGGAAGGACGCCCCTCTGGACAGACTTGCCAGGGCTCAGGAGGTGGGGGCAGATGGGGAGTTAGCGCATCACCTATAAACCCAGCCTTGCACCTCTCTCTAATAAAATAATAACCCTGAAAGGGAAGAGTGGGTGGAGTCCAGATGAGGGCTGTGGGGGAGAGCTGGCCCCCTCCAGAAGGCCCTTCCCAGCTACCAGAGGCCTCTGATGGGGAGGCTGGGCCGGGACCTGTCCGTGGTGCTGAACTCATCAGTGCCCACTTTGTCTTCTTGCGATGGGGCTCAGAGAGGGCTAGCGGTTTGCTTAGGGCTGCACAGCAAGGGAGAGGCCAGGCATTGGGACCTGTGGCTGGGTATTAGAGGGTGGGGCAGGATTCTGGGATATACTTGCCCCAGGAGGGTCTTAGGAGGGAGCTAGTTCTGAGAATTCCCTCTCTCTCTCTCTCTCTCACACACACACACACACACACACATTATGGTGAAGAGCTCATACTATATCCAGATGACAGGGCTTCAAGCCCTGCCTTTGTTCTCCACATGTTACATGACTAGCCTACACAGACTGCTTTATCACTCTGTGCCTCAGTTTCCCCACTTGTAAAATGGGGATTATGCAGCATGGACCTCAGGTAGTTACTGTGAGGATAGAATGAGTTAAGACATGTGAATTCCTAGAAATGGTGAATTAAAAAACAGTGGTTTTGTGCACAAAGTCTCATGTACATACTCAAATATACAGAGGTGACAGACACATTTTCAGGTGCACTTCCCCCAACACACATGACCTCCCACACACACTCAGTTCCCTCTACTTGCACCCTCACACACCCACACCATTTCTCTTAAAATATCTCTCCCAGGGCCTTCAGAGGTGAGCATTTACAAAACTGTCTGGGGCTTGTCACCTCATCAATAATACATGAACCTCATGCATATGCAAGTAGGGGTGTGCAGGGGGGTGGTGGCAGGAGGAAGAGGGGTGTGTGTGTGTGTGTGTGTGTGTGTCCATCCCTTCTCACAACCACCTTCTGTCTCAGTAGACACTGAGTGAGGGTGAGTTTGCCAGTGGGCATTTGTGTGTGTTTGTGCCTGGGTGTGCTGTGTCCAGGTGAGGATATCCATGAGGTTTGCCCTGTAGTATGTGGACTTGTGTGCAGGTCCCTAGCAGCTCTGTGCATTGGGTGGAGCATAGAGGACACCCTGTGGTCTCTGGATGTGTGGGTCTGAGTGCCCCTTGGCAGGGAGTCAGGGAGTATATGAGTACATAGGTGTGATCATGGAACGCCTAAGAGGAGAAAAGAAACCAGCTCAATAAATCATGCCAGGCTGCCCCTTCCGGACCGAACTCCCTGCCAGTGTCTCCCCTTTCCAATTCTGCACACAGACCACATCTTGAACCCCCACACCTGGTCCACACTGTCAATCACATGGAGAGGAACGTTGTTGTACACACGGGACACAAACACAGCCATGCACCCCAGACTCAGAGCCCAGGAGAGAGGGAGCCACACACACACACACAAAGATTCACAATGACATTAACAAAGAGAGACAATATGGGCACTGATAAGGCAGGCAGACGTCTTCTGCACAAAGACACACACCCACATTCTCAGGCTCCCCACATCAACCCCTTGTTAAGGCCACATCGTTAGACACAGCTCCTCACACACACACATGGCAATGCCAGCCCCTGGCACAGCCCAGGTTGGATAACGGTGGCTTTGGTGACTGATGGGCACACATCATTTTTCCACCTGGTGTTGTGGCCCCTGGCACGAGTTTCCTGACAAAGACAATCTGTCACATTAGACTCACAGAGGATCCCAGACCTCCCCCCGCCCCCCCCCCGCCGGGTACATACCCTCCCCTAGCAGGGGGTAGACACACACAAAGCCCCCACCTCCTAGGGGGGCATCTTACATGTGAGAGTGCCCAGAAGTAAGAGAGGCTGCTGGGTTCTGGGGTCCCATGGTCTGCCCACCCTTCTTCCCTGCCCTTCCCCCAAGTCCCCCGCTGGGGCCCAGCGCCAGCCCTCTCCTCAGCCTGGCTGTCTCCCATTAATGCTATTGAAAGGAACAAAGCCCTGTGCACAGGGATGGGGGTCGCTGCTGCCCAGGCTGGGGCTGGGGTCCCAGCCCCCTACTTCCTAGCACTTGTGCCTCCAAACCCAACCAGGACTTCCACACGCAACCATATGGACAGATGGAACTGAAGGGTGAGGCAAGGGTCCGTGTCTGGCTGCGAGGACACCGTCAGATATGGAGGTGCTTGTGGCAGTCCCTCATGGAACTGGTGCCCCTCACCGGTCCTGGGGATCCGTAACTTGTACTTTTGGGGGCTCTGATCCAGTATTCACCTGGGAAACCCAATTTGCTCCCTGGGAGAGGGACAGCACCCCGACTCCAGGTCTGAGGGAACAACAGGGACCATCTTGGGATGGGGCCCCCAGAGCTTTCTCCCTGAGTCAGGATGTGTTGCTAGGACATGGGCCAAAAGGACAGGAGACTGCGGGGCACCCCTTCCCCTTGGTCTCAGTGCAGACCCTGCCATCAGGCTAAGACTGATATGGGGCCCCTTCCCGCTGCGGTCCAGCCTGGCACCCTTCATTCATCTGCAAATTGGGAATCCCCACTTAAAATCCTGGGGTGGCTCAGCTCAGACACTGGGGTGCCCTGTCTCAGAGTCCCCACACAGCCTCTCGGTGTCCCCCTCTTCTCTCTAGACTGGGTGTCCCTCCTCTGGCCTTGGTTCCCAGTGCCCCCTCCCCAATTCTGAGACCCACCCCTAACCAGGCCCCTTCCCCACCAAGGGATCAGTTCCGTATTCCCTAGACAGCCTTCCCCCCAAATCCCAGTTCCTCTGACATTCCCAAGCTCCCTCCCATTTTGGGTTTCCTCCCCAACCCAAGGCTCCCTTTCTCCCTTCCCCGGAGCCCCCTCCCCATTCTGGGGGCGTCTCTCCGATCCCAGGCTCCCTCCCCAATCCCGAGGACCTCTCCCGCAGCCTAGCCCATTCCCTGCGACGGACCCCCACCTGGCTCTTAGCTCGGATGCATCCCGGGGCGGTCGCCCGCCCGGCACAAAGGACGCTCAGCTTGGCTCAGACGCGCCAGGTCCAGCCCCTGCGCCCTGCGCTCCGCTCACCCCGGCACAGCCTCAGCGCTTATAAAGGGGCCGCGGGGCTGTTGTGCGCATGCGCCCCTGCCAGCCCGAGGCCTCTGGCTGCGAGAGGGAGGAGCCCCCTCCGACTAAAACTCACTCCCCATTCCTTCCACTGCTTGCCCCACCCTGGGGAGACGGCGCTTCACTTTCCCCCCAGGAGCCAAGTTCAATGTCTCCAGAAGTTCCATGGTGGGCATGCCCCATGTCACAGATGGGGAAACTGAGCCCCGGGGACACAAAGTTACTCCCAAGGTCGCGTGGAGGGGAAGGACGAGCTGGGATTCTAACCCTGGCCCGCCTGGCTCTCCAGGGCTCACGCTTGAAGCAGTTTTGATTAGTTACTATTTTACTCCATTTAAAGAGAGGAAGCGGAGACTCAGAGAGTAAGCAGATCCCTGGGTTCCACAGCCGATAAGAGACACGCAAGGTGGAATCTCAGGTGTGTCGCACCCAGAGCTGCTGTTACCAGCTCCAGCCGGAACGTACCATTCATTCATTCCTTTGTCCAATCAGCAGTTATGGAGCAGCTGCTGTGGACCAGGTTCTGTAGTCACAGGGGCCGTGGGCATGGGCAGGGAGGTACTAATTTTAAAAAGCCTAGATCCACACAGAGGCATATTACTCAGCTATAAAAAGGGATGAAGCTCTGACACATGCCACAGTGTGGGTGAACCTTGAAAACCTGCTGAGTGAGAGAAGTCAGATACAAAAGGCCACATGGTGTATGATCCTGTTTATATGAAATGTCCAGAACAGGCAAATCCACAGGGACAGAAAGTGGATTAGTGGTCACCAGGGGGCTGGGGGAGGAGGAGTGGGAGGTGACTGCTAATGGGTACAGGGTCTCCTTCTGGGATGATGAAATGTTCTAGAACTAGACAGAGGTGATGCTGCATAATAATGTGAATATACTCAATGCCATTGAACTGTACACTTTGAAATGGTAAGTCTTTAAAAAAATATATTTTATTGATTCTTTACAGAGAGGAAGGGAGAGAGATAGAGAGCCAGAAACATCGATCAGCTGCCTCCTGCACATCTCCTACTGGGGATGTGCCCGCAATCCAGGCACACGCCCTTGCCCGGAATCGAACCCGGGACCTTTCAGTCCGCAGGCCGACGCTCTATCCACTGAGCCAAACCGGTTTTGGCTGAAATGGTAAATTTTATGTTCTATGTATTTTGCCACAATGAAAAAAAAAATGAAAATGAAGGGGAACAAAAACGTAAAGAGGTCAGCCCCTTCCCCTGCCTTCCTTCCCATGGTCCTAGTCTCTCAGGACTGACAACGGACTGCACTGGACAGAGGGTCTGTGTGTCCACCAAGAGTCCTGCGTCTGTGTTTATGTATGTGTGTTCTCATATCTCTGGGGGTGGGTCTCAGATTGGTGGGGGGGACAAACAGATGTTTTCGGCTAAATTACCAGAGTGGTGGTGGGAATGAGTGAAGGGTGAGGGAAGACCCCTGGGAGGCAAGATCGCCCAGGCTTCCCCTGTGTCAATTCCCCAGGCTGGAGGTGGATGATCATTTGCTGTCTGACTCCTCATCACAGAGGTCAGGGATCATGCTGATGTGCCCGCAGGTGGCAGGCTTGTGTGACAGAGTGTGGCGGGGGCCTGGGGTCTGGGTGTGGTTGTGTGATCTGCATGGGAGCAGGCAGCATGGTCTCCACAAGTCCTGCATTCAAATCCCTCCCTCTTCACTTCTAACAGAGTGACTCTGGGTCAGCCGTTTCATTTTTCTATGCCTCAGCTTAGAAAAACTTCCCTGTCTAAAACAGGTATAATTAAGAGTCCTTACTGTACAGGGTTGCTAGGGGAATGAGATGGGAAGTAAATACACAAGATGGCAGCTGCCCACTTTCCAGCTGGGAAAACTGAGGTTCAAGGGGAAAGATTATGGTTGCACAGGGGTCAGATGGGAGCCCAGGTCTGTGGCCTCAGAGCCAAACTTACCCCCACTTCTAACTCTCCCACTCCTCCACTCCCTCCCCCTCTGCCCACCTCATGGGCCCCCTGGCTGGTGCCAGGGCTGAGCTTAGAGGGGCTGGCCAGGGGCCCAGGGGTGGGCTGTTGCCGGGGGTTTGAATGAGGCAACCTTGCCTGGGAATCTGCTGGGCTGAAAGAGCTATTCTATTTATAGACCTGCACTGGGATTGGGTGAGCCATCCCCCAGCCCAGAGGGCCTTCTCGGTCCCCCCCACACTGGGGCCCCAGGCCAAGGGCTGCTGTGAGTGGGTGCAGGGAGCAGAGGAGGAAGCTGATGGGCCAGAGCAGGCTGGACCCTCCAAAAGATCTAGGTCTCAGGGGTGGACAGTGTCCCCCACGTGCCTCTCAACATACCCAAGGTGACATACAGACACGGCACATGAAACCAAATTCACAGCTGTCATATACAGTGTCACAAACAACCGAAACACACAATCATATCCCAGACACACAGTGACTGCACAGAAGGCTCATAGACAACCACACCTGACAAGGCCACATATAAGTCACACAGGCCACACACAACCTCCCATCGCCATACACAAGTCATGCCTGCTGCACAGCCAAACTCACAGCTATGAGTCTGGCCCCATCTAGAATCCCTTCACACTTAAACACCCACTGTGTCCACACACCTCTGTACCTCAGCCTTCCTGGCTGCCACAGACAGCTCATGTTTGTCCCATGTTGTTCACACCCAGCCATGTCTATAACTGTGGGCACACCTACAGCCAGCCAGCACCCAATCATGATCACCTGGCACCATGTCACCAACATGGAGACATACAGTCCTCCCAAGGCCACACTCAGCAAAGCCACTCAGCCTCACCCTAGTCATGGCTTAGGGTGTTCCCACATGAGCTCAGCTCAGTCCCTTCATGCCCAGCCATCCCTCTCACCCCCACTATTACCTCCTCTTACCCAGACCCCCAGGCTCACATCCCGTCAGAACTGACAGTTCAGCTGGAGCATCTGTCTATTCTGAGCCAGGCCTGCTGGCCCCAGGCAGACCCCAGCGAATAAATCAGACTCAGACCTGTCCCTAGGGTGCTGCTGGCCAGGGACCCCATCACACTCACCCTCAAAGACTCTCCAGGCTGGGACCTGGGACAGCCATTCAACCTATTCCCCAGGGGGAAACCAAGGCTCAAAGCTATTTAAGGGCCTCTCCCTGCCCTACTCAAGGATAACAAACTCTTGAGAAGTGCGACCTGTTTTCTGTCAGGGGTGGGGCTGACTTTCCAGAGAGAGTCCCTGCTGACCCATACTTGCTGTGTGACTTCAACAAATCCCTGACCCGCTCTGGGCCTCCATTTCTTCTCCTGGAAAAAATACAGAACTCAGCCCAGTGAAAGGAACTCCGGAGTCAGACGAGGGTTTGAATCCTGGTTCCCCTGGGTGACCTTAGCCAAATGACTTGGCTTTTCTGTGTCTCCGTTTCCCTCCGTGAACCAGAGTTGCAGTGCCTGGTTCTTCTAGAGTGCCCTCTGCTCTATCCGTTACGGGGAGAGGGGAGGGAGTGCCCAGTCTCTCCTCACTCAGGCAAATGAATGGACCACTTTTGGCTGCCCTGCTGGGAGCTTACAGCTGGTAATTCCTTGGAGAAACAGGAAGCTCTTTCATGCCCAGGCGCCAGTGGGGAGAGGAGGTGGAAAGAGGGTATGAGCTGGCTTCAACCCAGTGGGCAAGGTGGCTCCATGCCAAGACCAGGAGTGGTGTGGAGGGCCCTGGGGTAAGCATATCCTTGGCCCCAGTGGTTGTACCCTCAGCTGTAAAATGTAGGTGACATGGACTAGCACAGGAGGTTTAATGAGCCGGTGGATGGAGATAAAACGTTGCTTCAAGTTAAATACAGGGTGAGCTCTAGCTGGTTTGGCTCAGTGGATAGAGCTTTGACCTGTGGACTGAAGGGTCCCAGGTTTGATTCTGGTCAAGGACATATGCCCGGGTTGCGGGCTCGATCCCCAGTAGAGGGCATGCAGGAGACAGCTGATCAATGATTCTCTATCATCATTGATGTTTCTCTCTCTCTCTCCCTTCCTCTCTGAAATCAATAAAAATATATTAAAAATAAATACAGGGTGAGTTCTCAACAAAGGTCACTGTTGTCATATGTCATCCTAAAGAGCCTACTAAATCCCCCAGCAGTTCTAGAAATAGAATTTCCTCACCAGTTCACAGGTGAGGAGACAGGCTCAGAGGTCCACATGCTTGTTCACAATCACACAGCCAGTTAGTGAGGGGCCCAGCCAGGATTTGAACTGGACCCTACAAGATCCATGCTCTTCCTAACTTCCTCTGGGGGAGGTGTTTTCTTACCACGTCCAACTCTGATCCTGAGACCAGCAGACCCAAGTCTGGATGGCACCAGATCATGACTGAATGCAGGAGATCCTGGCAGGCAGAGGCTGATGGGGCAGCCCTTCCACTAGTGTCCCAGTTTCCCAGCCTGCACCCCCTCCTGGGGCAGGCGTGGGCAGACGCCAGTAAGATGCCAGGAGGGCCATTCCCCCAGCCCTTGAAGAAAGGGGCTGGGCCCCAGACTATTCAGTGGAAGCCAGGAACCACAGCCTCCTGGCAATGGCTGGTCTGTCTCAGAACCCTCCATTCATGCAGATCAGTTGGTGTCCTGCCCTTTCTCAAACACCTTCTGGGACTGCTCTGAGCTCAGCAGGATCTGGCTCCACATATTTTATTCAAATTTATGGTCTTTGGTTATACTGTTCTCCCTGGCTGGACCCTACACCTCCCCACCGCAAGCCCCCAAATTTTTCTCACCCTGGTGAATTCCTACCCACCCATTAAGGTGTAGATACAATACCCTCTCTCCCAGGAAGCTCTCCTACCCCTGCTATCCCAACAGTATCTCTCTCCCTGGCTCAGCCCTGGCCCTATGGGTGTGTGTGTGTGTGTGTGTGTGTAGCTCTGTATTACCCAGATTGGGGGCTCATCAAGTGCAGGGATGGAACTGAGGCCTCTTACAGTCCCTAGCATCATCCAACACAGGGCTGGGCAGTAGGGAGTGGCAGTTGTTTAGTGAATCAATGAACCAGATCTTTAGCCTGGTATCTGAGGCTTTGTGTAATCTGGTTTGGCAAACTCCTGTTCATCCTTCAAAACCCACTTCACATGCCCCCTCCTACAAAAAGCTTGTCCCAGGCAGCATTTATTGGGAAGACAGATTTGAAGGCCCGGCCTGCTGTGTCTCAGCCAGGACACACGAGGCTGATGAAGACTTCTTGTACCTGCAATATCATGACCTCTTCCTTTGCTTCTGGGAGGCAGTCAGGTACATGGGTTTCCAGGTTGCATTAGCAGTTAGGTCACAGAGGTTCTCAACCTGTGGGTTGCGACCCCTTTGGAGGTTGAACGACCCTTTCACAGGGTCGCCTAAGACCATCCTGCATATCAGATATTTACATTACGATTCATCACAGTAGCAACATTACAGTTATGAAGCAGCAACGAAAATAATTTGATGGTTGGGTCACAACATGAGGAACTGCATTTAAAGGGCCAGAAGGTTGAGAACACTGATGGAGATGGATTTGGCAGACTTCCCCAGATAGAATCACATCATTATAAGAAGTATATCGATTTCCAAAACCAGTGCTCTATACCTGCGGGCACCAAAGGACAGTGTCCCACATACAGTTGTTTTTAGGTGCCCGCCTTAACCCAATCAGTGGGCGCGAGCCCTTTAAGAGGTGGGCACTCAGGGGCGGGGCTCAAGTCAAACCCCGCCCCGGGGAACGACGGCGCCGCGGCCGTAGCCTCGTTGCTTCGGCGCCGTCTCCGCGCGGTTCCGGGGTCCAGATTTTGGTTCTTTTTTTCCAAAGAAACAGAGCCTCGGAGCCAGAGCGACCGCCCCCCAAGCCCACAGGACAAACCCCTGGTCTTGAGTCATTGGCAAAATCCCCAATTTTTCCGGCAAGGGGGTGATCAAGGCGACATTTAGGTCTGGGAAGGGTGGGTGGTGCCGGTTCCGGTCCAGTGCTGCAGGCGAGGGCGTTCCAGCTCAGAAGCGGGGAGTGTCGCTATTGTGGCTGCGCTGGCGCGGGATTCGAACCTGTGCCGAGCCCAACTCTGAACCCTGAGGTCTTGTGGAGCTAAAATGACCCACTCGTTGGTTTGTGCAGACACCGTGAGCAGGTGAGGCCTGAGGAGGTGGGGGCGGGCAGCAGTGGTCCCTTCCTCAGCTTGGGGTGTAGCTCTCTTTGGATAGAGCACGGGGTTTGTGAATCCGGTGGCAAGGAGGGGCGGCGGTGGGGGCTGGGCCCTCCGGCCTGGGTCCAGCCCCTCTCCTCGCCCTAATTCTGGTGCCTCCAGGGTGAGTTCGGTTCTGAATCGCAACACCCGGCAGTTTGGAAAGAAGCACCTGTTCGACCAGGACGAGGAGACGTGCTGGAACTCGGACCAGGTGAGCTCTCCACCCCTTGTGTGAACCAGATTCAGGGGTCCAGGGTGCCTTGAGAACTCACGGGCACCACAGTTGGGCTCAGTCGGGTTGGCCAGGAGGGAACATGTGCTGAGTCCTGCCCCCACCAATAGAGAGAGAGAGAGAATAGCACTGCTTTGAGCCTGAATGGACTGTGGGCCTCAGTTTCCCTGTCTGCTTCCAGGGCCCCTCCCAGTGGGTGGTCCTAGAGTTCCCCCAGCGCATACGTGTCTCCCAGCTGCAGATCCAGTTCCAGGGGGGTTTCTCCAGTCGCCGGGGCTGCCTAGAAGGTACTGGAAGCCCTGGGAGAGGGAGAGAAGGGGTCGGAGGGGACACCCCGGCCTCACAGTCTACCTCTCTCCCTGTTGCAGGTTCTCAGAGGAGTGAGGCTCTCAGTAAGATTGTGGACTTCTACCCTGAAGACAACAACTCCATTCAGATATCCTACCCGGGCTTCTGGGGTGGGGGTGGTCTGTGCCTCTGAAAGCTGCCCACGTTGTCTGTGACCTCCAGCAAGCGGCCTCCAGGCCTGCGTTACTTCATCTGTGAAACGGGCTGCTGGTAATCTGTTCTGTGTGAGTCTCAGGGACCTACAGCACGTCTGAGTAGGGGCTGGGTAGGGGTTGCAGACAGTTAAACGGTAAGCCGTTTCCCTTGACTGCTATGCTCACACCTTTCCTGTACCGGCTGCTGAAGTGGACCAGCTGAAGGTAACATTTGAGGACCTCACTGACTTCTTTGGCCGTGTGGTCATCTACCACCTGAGAGTGCTGGGGGAGAAGGTGTGAGGCCACTGGGCAGCCGCCACCTCCAGGAAACCCTCATGGAAGCACAGCACAGTCCTTCAAGTTCTGCACAGGTTTATTGATTTCTGCTGGGAAGGGTCCCTCCCACCATCTGTCCGGGAGCTGCCTTTGAAGCCAGTTCTGGGTCCCCCCAACTCTGGGTTGACCGCTTTGTTCCCTGAGTGTCTGAGTCCCTGGAGGGGGGGCGGGGTGGCCTTCACTCAGGATCGTCGGGCACCAGGTTATTCTGGAAGAGCTTGAGGATGTGGTTCTCGATCACCTGTTGCACTGGAAACAGGACAAGGAAAACGTGGGCCATGAATGGGACTGGGGCTGCAGAGAAACTCGCCCACCTGCGCCCTGCCTTCCCCGGGGTTACTACCTTGGGACCTACACCCTTCCCTCTGGGGACCAACAGGGGCCTTCCCGGGACATGGATTTCGTACATAGGTAAATCCACACCCCTCCCAGGACACAGCTGGGGAGACTGAGCCCCTGTCCCAGGAACCTCAGTTTCCCCTAAGTTTATAAAGATGTTTTTGGAGGCATTTCAGAGTTATAAAAATATTCCTTGCAAAACAAAATCGGTGAATTGTTATATGTATGAAAGGACAAGAAGGAGTATGAAGATTGATTTGTCCCAAATGGAAGACTCCTTGAAGAACGGAGGGGATATTTCCCAAACCATCAATCCCGCCCCCCGATGACCCCAGGGGTTGGTTCTGTTAGGATCACCCCAGTTCATGGGTGGGGAAGCAAATGGAGAAGTGAGGAGTCAAACTGGGGTCTCTCATACCCACTTCCTGCCTCAGAGAGAGTGGCCTCCATGGCCCTGTGCACTGTGACCCGGCCCCCTCCCTCTGGGTGTCCTCACCCTGCCAGGCCTCTGCATGAGATGTTCCTCCAGCCTGGGCCATCCTCCCTCCCCCTTGGTCCCCAGGAAGCCCACTGTGACGCCCCCATCCATCCTGAGGTGGGGCCAGGGCCTCCTTTGGGCCTCTCAGTGCCTGAGTGTCCTCCATCATGACCTCAGTCACTGACACATTGACCTCCACCTCCAAATCATAGGGAGCCCCCTGAGAACGAGGCCTAGCCCATGCCCAAGCCAGGTACACAGTAGCACTCAATGTTTGCTAACGTGAACACTTGTTGCCAGTATCCAGGAGGTATGCCCCTGTGCCCTCTCTGGTCACCCCACCTACAGCGCCCTGTCACTGCCCCGTGAGTCTCAGGCTGACCTTTCCGGTATCCCAGAGCCACAGCGAGATCCATGGGGGTGTAGCCAGAGTCGGCTTCAGTGGTGAGATCAGCTCCTCGGGCTACAAAGCAGAGCAGGTGCTGCGGGGGGGGACTGGGAGCCCAGGATGGGGCATGGGACTCCGGAGATCCAGTGACCCCCAAGGACAAAGCCCCAGGTCTGTTGGTTGCCCATGTGGCCTTTGGACAAGAGACTGAGCTCTCCTGAGAATGGCGCCAACAGAACTCCCACCTCCAGGGTCCCTGAGGCCAGACCCCTGTGGTGTCCCACCGCCTCCTGCCCCCTGATCAGTCCTTTGGGAAAAGCAGGCAAGATCTGCTCAAGCCGCGCTCCGGCCCCTCCCTGGCCCGCGGGATTCCTCAGTGCCAGCTGGAGCTCGTGGACTCCCCGGTCAGCCTCTGCTCCCACTCACCCAGCAAGGCCTCCACGCACTTCACATGGTTCCCACGCACGGCATAGAGCAGTGGCGTCCCTCCATTCTGTCAGGGCAGGGCAACCAGCACTACCTTTACTGGACTCTCACACCACCCAGCACCCTCCAGTTTAATGTGGTTCCTTCTCTTGTTTGTCACCTGGCAGGTCTAGCTCCTCTTGGGGCTCAGCGTCGATGCCCCCCTTCCAGGTAGGCCTCCCTGACTGCCCTTGGCTGTGCAGATCGCCGGCTGCCTATGCGACTGCCACCACAGAGTTATCCACTACCGCTCAGCTGAGTGTTTATGTATTGGCTCCTCCCTCCCTCCCTTCCCACCAGACACCAAACCTAGGTCTGTGAGGCTTGGGGAGGAGTCTGTCTTGTGTTCTTAGCATCCAGAGCAGGCCTGGTACCCTGCAAGGAGCCCAGTGCCCGCATGTGGTGCCTCACCCAGTCGTAAATGTTGATGTCCACATCACGCTCGAGCAGCAGCCCCACGATGTCTGTGTAGCCACCTGTGCTGGCCAGTGACAGGGCGCTCTCCCGCTCCTTGGCCAGGATGTGGGGGTCGGCACCCTGGGGGGAGCAGAGAGAGTGGTGATGGGAGGAGTGGGAGATCCCCTGGAATCCGGTGGTCCCCATGGCAGCCACATCTAAAGACATGGCACTGGCAGGTTCGGCTGAGACTTGGCCGCCCTCAAGTCCCAGGAAGTCCCCCGCTGGGCAGGGACGCACCCACTCAAGCAAGAATCGGACGGTCTCTATCTCTCCGAAGGCTGAGGCCCAGATGAGGGGGGTGAAGCCACGCTCGTCCGGCTTGTTGATGAGGTTGTCGCCTGGCAGGAGGGGTTGGTACCACTGGGCTGCACCCCTGCCCACTCTCCCCAAAGCTGCGGGAGCGGGGATCAGGTGGGCAGCTGGGGTCAGATGGGGGGACACATGTGGATACACACAAGTGGCCACGCTTGTACACAAACATAGACACAGGAACGCATGGACACTCACAGGTCATGACAGCACACATGCACATACCAGCACACAAGGTCAGACAAGCAAATGGGTGTAGACACACACCTTTCCTCAGATGCTCCTTCAGCTGGCTCAGCTCTCCCTGGGCTGCAAGCTGGTGGATGGACAGGGCTGGGGCCAGAGAGAGGCAGTGTCCTCACCTGTCCCATCCTTGCTCTGTGCCTCAGTTTAGCTTCTGTCCCAAGTTGCTCCTCTCAGCCCTGCCACCCTGTCACCCCATCCCTCCCCCACCCCCCACCGTTAAGGACAGGGGCCACTCACAGTCCAGGGTGGCCGGCAGGGCCGAGACCTCATTCCCCCGCTGCCGGTTGGTGAGGGTCGTGGAGTGCTTTAGGGAGTTGCCTGGTGGAAGAGAGAGGAAGGGTTCTGGGGCTTCAAGCTAGACCCTGGGGGTTTAGAGCTACCAAAGACACTGCATGACTCTCTCTTCCACTCCACGGATGCTACTGGAGCTGAGCCCTGAGAAGCTGGAAGCTATAGGACCCACTGGCCAATCTGGGGATGTCCCATAGACATCAGTGGGTCATCTCCTGAAAACCTGAAGAATTTGGAGATTGTTGCTCATCACAGAAGGCAGCTCTCGGAGCACCCTGAGTGGGGTCCTGGGCCCTGCCTGTCATCAGAGATGTTAAATAAGGTATGGGGCAAGGCCATCCGGTCTCCTGAGAGACTGGCCGCTCTAGGGTCCTGCTGCTGTGTGGAAGTCATGACCTAGGTCCTTCTGAGTGATGGAAATGTTCTAGAATTACAGAGAGAGGTTGGGGTTACCCACCACTGTGAATGTACTTACTGCCACTAAATTATATGCAATTCTGGTTAAAATGGTAACTTCCATGTTATGTGGGTTTTGCCATAATAAAAACAAATAAGCAATCCCTTGCTGGGTGGGGCAGGAAGATATGTATGCCCTAGGCGGTGGGACATAAAACAGAGGCCCCATTTAGGGCCTGACATTCCAGTCCTTGCATCCCGAGGCAGTACCTACCCTGAGGTGAAGAGGCGCCAGCATCAGGTTCAGGGTTCCCAGGCTCTGGGGTGCAGGGGAAGAGACTGAGCACCACTGTGTCTGAGCCATCCGGGGCCTCATCCCTGGGGTCTTCAGGTTCCCCAAATTCTGGGGTGGGAGGCTGCTGGGTCAGGCTGAGGTCCTCTGAAGGCTGGGTGAGCTCCATGGGGGGGGGGGGGGGGAAAGACTTGTGAACAATTCTTACGAAGTTAGGTGCCAGCTGCATAACTGGCCTTGCACAGGGAGGGTGGATAAACTCAGGCTCAGCAGGGAAATTAAATCACAGTCCAATTCCTTTTCAGGCCCACTCTCCACCACCACCAGGACACATCCAACAGTCATTGCTTAGAAGTCCTGGCTCTGAGGTCAACTCTCTGGGTTGGAATCCTTCCACTTACAGGCTGTGAGAACTTGGGCACATGCCTTACCTACTCTGAACTTGTATCCTCATTAATAACACGGGGAAACGAGGTCTAAGAGAAGTCATATCTGTACATACCTAAGCAGGGGGCCTGAAACCGGCAGAGCTTCATAAATGTTCGCTGTGGTTACTTTTTGGAGGGTGGTCCCCGGAATGACGGAGGAATCAACAAAGATGTAATTGGTTCCATCCCACCCGTCCCTCCAAAGCCGATCCAGGAGGTTCACTCACCTTCCACGAACCTTCTCTGTCACCCCTCGCCGCAAGCCCAGATCCCCCAAAACTTGGAAGCCCAATTCACAAACTTTTCCCTTCCAATTGATGTAGCGGGGAGCAAGCTGGAGCCTGGATAGTCAGCGCTCTGGCTTCTTCTGCCGGGACAGAGAGCAACTTGATACTCGACCACTACCCCCACCCCAGAGGTCCCCCACTGCGCCTGCGCACCCTGCCCCCCAAAAGTGCGGAAGGGCAGGAGCAGTAGGAGCTGCTTCTGGCCCTTTAAGGATTGGAGGAGGCGTGGTTTCCGCTGGAGTCCGAGGAGTGCAATTGCTCCTGTGCCTTCTAGTCCCGCAGGGTCAGAGAAGTGGGCGGGGCCTCAGAGGGCTCGGTGGATCTCATTGCGCCTGTTAGAAGCCAATCGGCTCCAGTTTGGGGTGGGAAGGCGGGGCTTTCTCCCTCGAGGGCAAGGGGGCGGGAGCAGGCGGGGCGTCCAGGATTTAAAGGGGCGACTCCATGATCGTCCCAGTCCACAACAGTGCTCCCTCTGGGTCGTGGGGGCCCATGAACATGTGCAGGGATTTGATGGCAGTGAGGTGCAAAGAGGCCGTTACTACGGTCCGCAGTGAGCGGTGTGTAGAGCGTTCCCCAATTCATCCGCCCCTGGAAAAGGGGGTTCTTCCCTTCCATGGTGTCCCTCCAGGAGCTGCATGGGGTCCTAGCCCCTCCTCACCTGCCTCCCGGTGTGGCCCCTTCCCCGGTCTCTCACTCACGGCCCCTCTCCGGGTTCGGTAGAGATGGAGGAACGGAGGGCAAACCAATGGGTACTGGAATAGTGGCAGGGCCTAGTGAGGTTTCGCAGGGGAAGGTTTAGGGAGCAGTCACCATCTCCAGCTTCCGGTTCCGGTTTTCAAGCTTAACGGGCCTCGGTGGCTATGGAGGAACCGGAGATGCAGCTCAAGGGGAAGAATTCGAGGCCCCAGAGGAAGTGAACTGCCATCGAATCCTGGTTCGGCCTCTGACTAGTTTTGAAAGCTTTAGTACCCGTGCCTCGGTTTTGTCATCTGTAAAATGGGGAGTATAGTCCTCCTCCCTCCCTTCAAAGGCTTGTGAGAACGCGATGAACTGGAATTGGTAATGCACTGGAAGAAAGCTCGGGGCGTGGCAGCCGTATAGCAGTGGTTCTCAACCTTGGCTGCAGTTACGTATTTGTGTGTTTACATTGACTTACCATATATTTATAATCCCATAGTTACAAATTACAAAGTGCCATAAGCGTTCTAAATTATGAAGTCTCCTGTTATTTTATCACACACGTTATGTCTTTAAAAAAATTTTTTTGTATTGATTTCGGAGAGGAAGGGCGAGATGAGAGAGAGAGAAACATCACTGATGCCCAGCTGGCGTGGCTCAGTGGTTGAGCTTCGATCAGGAAGTCAGGATTTGATTCCGGTCAGGGCACATGCCAGGATTGCAGGCCCCTCTTTAGTGTGGGGCGTGCATGAGGTAACTGATCAATGATTCTCTCATCATTGACATTTCTATCTCGCTTTTCCTCTCTCTTCCTCTCTGAAATCAATTAAAAAAATTTTAAAAAACAAAGAAACATCACCGATAAGAGAATCATTGACCCGCTGCCTCCAGCATACCTCCTACCCTGGGGATCAAGCCCAAAACCTGGACATGTCACCTCACCAGGAATTGAACCATGACCTCCTGATCCATAGGTCAAGGCTCAACCATTGAGCCACACCGGCCGGGCACACGTTATTTCTAATTAGTTAGAAGGCACAAGTACATTTAATTCCACCGCTTTTGTAAGCTCCCAGCTGTAAGCTATTACATGCTCATTTTCTAAAGGAGGAGGCCTAAGAGGGTAACAGTTTCTATAACGATACAGTTTGGAGGTGGCAGGCTGGGCTGCTGAGCTGGACTGATTCACACTGGACAGACTAATGCATGGCGTCCTTTGATTCCCAGACATGCCAGCGTTCTCTCTCTTGCCAACCACACTGCCCTGGGCAGTAGCATAGGATCATCTCTGTAGCAAACCTTGAGAGTGGGTACTGTTATTGCATTTTTACAAATGAGGAACTGAGGCTCAGAGAAGCCCCCATCCTCACAAATCCAAGCTTTAATATTTTTATCTATAAATACGTAACTTAGTAAAGAACGAGAATTTAAGTATAAGAGAAACGAACAGGGTGCTGAGGTTGGGAATGAGGGACATGTGTTTATTCTTGGTGATTGGGGAAGGCTTTGCCCAGGAGGTGACATTTCAGCTGAGACATGAGGGATGAAGCCGGGGGTGAGGGTGGAGGTGGGGGGAGGGGTAGTGGCAGTGGCAGGAACAACACAGGCAGAGGCCCTGGGGTGGCAAAGTGTTCAGAGCTTTGCTGTAAATACAGTAGCTACTGGTCACAGTATTTATGGGTATTTAAATTAATTAAAGTTAAAAAATCAGTTTCTGAGTCACATTAGTCACATTTCAGGTGCCCAGGAGTGGCCACCTCATTGGACGGTATAGATTCTAAAACCTTTGAGTCATCTCAGAAAGTTCTTTTGGGCAGTGCTGGGAGTGTCCAAGTAACAGCCAGGAGGCACTGGGCCCAGGCAGAAGGCAAAGACCACAGCAGCAGAACATACAGGACCTTAAGGGCCATGGTGAGGAAAGCAGATTTTATTCTCTGGCTGATGGGAGCCATGGAGGCTTCCAAGCAAGGGAGGGTCATATTTGATGTGTTCACTAGGAGTTCACTCCATCTGTTGTGTGCATATGGGACTGTTGGCAGGAGGGGCTGAGTCTGGCATCCAGGTGGGAAGCGGCCATACCTGGACCGGTGGGGTCAGTGCAGTGATAAGCATGGGAGAGGCTGGGCTTTGTTTTGTGTCAGAACCAGAAGATCTCATGTTTGGCGTGGATGACCAGCTGACTGGGAATGCAGACCCTGGGATGAGGATTTGTGTGTAGTTAACTTACCAGGAGAGCCCCACAGACTAGAGGGGAACAGAACAGGGCTGGGGAGGAGGCTGACCAAAGAGCAACCTCAGGTAAAATCCCTCAGAGTTTGGTCTCAGCCTGATTTGGCAAGGAGGTTTTAGGGGGGTGAGTCACACCTCCCAGTTGTCCCAACACACAGCAAGGGGCACAGACTTTTCATACTCCTCGATGGTCTGTCATGGCTGAGGGCCACCCAGGGATATAAGTAAACTTTCAGGCACTTTCAGATCCAGTCACCAGTGGATCCTTCTAGGAGGAATCTCAGATTTATTCACTGGGGTAAAAGGAATTCGAGGAGATCCGAGAGGGCAGCAGCCGTGTCCACTACAAGTAGAATTGGGAGGGGAAAGATCCTGAGTGCACTGGATGCATTGATAACATGAATGAGGCCCTCTGTGACCATGTCCTTCAACCTCTCTCCTGGGCCACAGGTGACCCAGCTGCTGGAGGGGACACCAGAGACTCCTCACTGCTCTGGCTGGACTCAGAGGTTGAGCAATCAGGAGTCTTACGCTTTGTTTCTTTGTGTCTGTGCACCCTTTTCCCTTACTTTGCCACCTTCCACGGTCAATTCTGGAACCAGTCACAGACAAGTTCACCGAGAGCGTCTACGTCCTGGCCAATGAGCCGTCCGTGGCCCTGTACCGGCTCCAGGAGCATGTGCGCCGCTCTCTGCCAGAACTGGCCCAGCATAAGGTGAGCCCCATGCACCCCTGCACCAGCCCCTGCAGGGCCTGCACATTGTGAGCTGGGGCCTGCTGGGGAGCAGGGGCTCTTGGGATGAGTCAAGGCTGGAACACAGCAAGGAGGCATGCGGTCACTGAGCCAGGCTAGGGCTGTGGGTAGACAGATGGGGGGCAGATTTGGAAGAAGGAGCAGCAGGCCTAGATGAATTGTGACCTGTATGGTGAGAAGGAGGCAGCTGTGTGAAGACTAGAGGGAAGAGCATGCCAGGGAGAGGGGACATTTGGTGCAAAGATCCCAAAACATAGCAGCTAGGTGTCCACAGAAAGCCTGGACTTGTGAGGGAAGAGAGTTGGAGGAAGAAAGGTTGGGGGCTGGAGGGGGCCAGTCTCTGCAGCCATGGTGATCGGGTGGTCCATCGCAGAGAGCTGGGATGACAGAGGTGGCAGCCTCCCCCTGCCTAACAGCCCCACCCCCACCCCCCAACCCCCCGCAGGCCGACATGCAGCGGTGGGAGGAGCAGAGCCAGGGAGCCATCTACACAGTGGAGTACGCCTGTAGGTGAGCACCTCAGCCTCCCCATTGCCAGGATCACCTCGCTCTGCATTGGGCTCACTGCCTGGGCATTCAGGAGCATCTCAGCCAGCTCCCTGGGAGCCCTGTCTTGCCAAGCCCACCTGAGGGGGAAGCATGTGGGTTTCAGTTTCCCTGGCCACACAGCAGGTTCGAGCCGAGGCCTGTGCTTCTCACTGTTTGCTCAGCCTCTGTGTGCCTCGGGCAGGCTTCTTCCCAGCTCCGATCCCCTCCCCGTCTATCATAGGAGGGTGTAACGAGGTTGGGGAAACATAGATTTGTCA